CTAATTGTAAATAATAAGTGCCTAAAAATGAAAGGTCTCTTTAATTTGTAGCACAAATTTAAGTGTTTTTAATTAACTCTCTCTCTGACTGACTCCCTTAACAGTGTGCTGACTACTGAACTAGGGAGCTGATTGAGATGCACTCGGATTTAGTTTAGATTTATTTTTCTTTCTGTTAATTATTCTCATCAAACACACAGAAAAACAGTTGAATCATCTGAGACACACGTGACACAATATTACAAAGATGGAGTTTATTAAAGAGGAGAGTGAAGACATGAAGATTGAAGAAACATTCAAACATGAAGATACTTTGGAACAAACAAAGATGGCGTTTATTAAAGAGGAGAGTGAAGACATGAAGATTGAAGAAGCATTCAAACATGAAGATACTGAGAAACCAACAGGTTGGTTTTTACTCATTTGATCTTTACTAAAATGTCCCGATTTCATTCCCCTCAGAAAGTCTGTTTCCCTTTACGCAATCACACTACAATTCTTGCGTAGTTGCATAGTTACCATACGTACGATCAGAACTGACGTGCGCTAGAAGCACAATTGGATGTACAGCAAGTCCAATGGTTCAAAATACTGTGTTTTCTCCAAAACTTGAAAATAGTTTTGAGAAGAGATGTTTAACAACTTGAAATTTAATTGTGCTTATTTTTCCAATTTATTATCAATTTCAACAATGTTTACGGCTTTGGCTATTCTGTCTTATATTTAAGCCGTGGTCACACTAGACTTTGAGCATGCGAAATTAGTTCGGACAGTGCTGTGAAAAGGGGCGGGAGCCATGATATTGATATTGATGTCAGGATATGACATAACGCGCCAAAATATCCACACTAGTCATAATTCTTTTCTATTTAAAGGGATAGTTCACCCAAAAATGAAAATGTGATGTTTATCTGCTTACCCCCAGGGCATCCGAGATGTAGGTGACTTTGTTTCTTCAGTAGAACACAAATGAGGATTTTTAACTCAAACCGTTGCAGTCTGTCAGTCGTATAATGGAAGTGAATGGGAATCACGGCTTTGAGAGTCAAAAAAACATACACAAACAAAACCAAATTAAACCCTGCGGCTCGTGACGATACATTGATGTGTGATACGATCGGTCTGTGCAAGAAACTGAACAGAATTTATATAGTTTTTTACCTCTGATGCACTGCAATGTCCGAACTGTCCTGAGCGTGTCCTCGATAGCCGGCGCGTGACGCGTCTTCTTCTTGCTTGACGGCGGATCGCAGACTTATAAGTGCATTACCGCCACCTATCTCTCAAATGGACCATTGACACTCTATTTACAATCTCAATTAGGAGTGAAAAAAATGTCATGGGATTTTTAATGACCACAGAGTCGGGACCCCGGTTTAGCGTCTCATCCGAAGGACGGTGCTTTTTACAATATAGTGTCCCCGTCACTATACTGGGGCATTAGGACCCACACGGACCACAGGGTGAGCATCCCCTGCTGGCCTCACTAACATAACAGCAACCTAGTTTTCCTAGGAGGTTTCCCATCCAGGTACTGACCAGGCTCAGCCCTGCTTAGCTTCAGTGGGCAACCAGTCTTGGGTTGCAGGGTGATATGACTGTGATAAAAGAGTATCACAATGCTGAAAAAGCTTTTTTTGTTTTACATGATTTGAAATCAAACTAATGGATAACTGTTGTGTTTGTGGCCTAAACAGCCGCGGATCAGTAGCGGACTGCAAACGCGTCCTGTGTGAAAGCACAATGAGTCCGTGCTGCTTCTGCACCACATACGTAATGCACATGGACCGCATACGCACTGCAGAAGGAGTATGTGTGAAACAGGTGTCACTCTCCAAGTGAGT